ATTCTATTAGCTTCTGGTCCTTCGGCTTGACTTCTGCTTGGGGGGAAACAACAATAATTATACAAATCGTAAACTCAACACAATCAGGAAAAGAAACCCAGACAACCATGTTGTACTTCAGTTGAATACATTTTGTAGCAGTGCGTCACGTCAGAATATTGTCTAAAATAAAATATTCAATCCCAGCCAAATCTAGGTCAAAGGGTCAGATTGCGTGCATATAATTATAGATAGTTAAAACAAAAAGTATTTGAACTTTTGACGGTTGTTCAATATCTATGCACAGTTACTAAACTAGTAACCGTGATCTATGAAAACCAGAAAATTTTTAGTAATTGTTGCACGGTCGAAAATAAAACGGAAATTGACCGGTCAAAAGCGGAAGCGGTCAAGAGGTTTGGGGGAAATGAGTACAGTACTTCTTTGTTTGATGTAGCGATGCTGATGCCACATTGTCTCCATAATGAGGCCACAATGAAGCGAAGCGATAATCGCCTAACTTTTTAAGGTCGCGACATTGAAGCGATGCTGAAGCCATAACAATGCCATAATGATGCGATGCTGAAGCGAAGGTGAAGCTGAAGTGAAGCCAAAGCTTCCGCGAGAACTGTACTGTAGGTGTCATTGTGCGATCCTGGGCGGCATTGTGTAACCCTGGGCGGCACTGTGTAACCCTGGGTGGCACTGTGTAACCCTGGGTGGCACTGTGTAACCCTGGGTGGCATTGTGTAACCCTGGGTGGCATTGTGTAACCCTGGGTGGCATTGTGTAACCCTGGGTGGCAGTGTGTAACCCTGGGTGGCAGTGTGTAACCCTGGGTGGCATTGTGTTACCCTGGGTGGCATAGTCTTACCCTGGGTGACATTGTCTTACCCTGGGTGGCATTGTCTTACCCTGGGTGACATTGTCTTACCCTGGGTGGCATTGTCTTACCCTGGGTGGCATAGTCTTACCATGGGTGGAATTGTCTTACCCTGGGTTGCATAGTATTACCCTGGGTGGCATAGTCTTACCTTGGGTGGTATTGTCTTACCCTGGGTGGCATTGTCTTACCCTGGGTGGCATTGTGTTACCCTGGGTGGCATAGTCTTACCCTGGGTGACATTGTCTTACCCTGGGTGGCATTGTCTTACCCTGGGTGGCATTGTCTTACCCTGGGTGGCATTGTCTTACCCTGGGTGGCATTGTCTTACCTTGGGTGGCATTGTCTTACCCTGGTGGCATGGTCTTACCCTGGTGGCATGGTCTTACCCTGGTGGCATGGTCTTACCCTGGTGGCATTGTGTTACCCTGGGTGGCATTGTCTTACCCTGGGTGGCA